AAAAAAAAAAGTGAGCCTCAGCAATTTAGCAAGGCCCTAAGCAACATATTGAGACCATTTCAAAATAAAAAATGAAAAGGACTAGGGATATAGCTCAGTGATTAAGTGTCCCTGGGTTCAATCCTTGGCACACACACATACACACACAAACACAACACATATTCACACATATGTATATTCTTTGAAGGGTGTAGAGAATCTTGTGTGCTATTATTGTATTAAAATAGTTTCTAAAAAGTTTTAACTCGGGCTGGGGCTATAACTCAGTGGCAGAGCACTTGCCTACCATGCATGAGGCACTGGGCTTGATCCTCAGCACCACATAAAAATAAAAAAAGAGATGTGTGGAGCATTTTAATACAAAAAAAATTTTTTTTTTAAGTTTTAACTCCTGAGTATAGTGACATGGTTGTTTAACATCTATAACCCATTAAACTACACATTTGTTTTCTGTCTTCATTTGATATTTTTAAAAAATGGCTTAAAATGAAAATGAAAAACTAATTATATTATTGGTTCTAAGCATTCTTATAACTAACAATTCAAAATCAACAATTCCTCATCTGATCTGATTCTCCTAACAGTGTGACTTTATTTCTTGTCACTCTCAGGATCTCTATTTTGGTCTATCTGATGCTGCTTTAATTCACATAGCTCTGCCTCTTACCTACTTATCTACTTTTCCTGATTTGCCCCAGCAAACCCCTGAGGCTTCTGAACTCTTCCTTCAGCTTGGAATATTCTTCTCTAGATAATATCTCTTCTCAAATACCATCACCTAAGAGAAATCATCCCCAGTCAGTCACCTTATCTAAATGGCCCCACCTCTGCTCTCCTTCCAACAAATGGTTAGGAACAGAGAGAGAAAGAGAGAGAGAGATGAAAAGGATGTGGTTGTCCATTTCCATATCTATTCACTCTAATGTAATGTCAATTTCTTGGAAGCAAGGGCCTTGTAAGTTTTATTTACTATCACTGCACTGATACATGTGTTTGTGTATATGCAAAAGGGGAACTGAAAAGTAGACTCCAAAATATAGTTAAAATACTGAACCCAGGAAAAGAGCCCCATCACTGAAAATGGGTTTGAAAGATAAGAAAAATATGATGATTGCTTCCCTGGCTCACACCAAGATCTTTATTTCCTCTCAGGACACAGACCTATGTTCCATGAGTCTACAACACAACCAGGTTGTAGACTCCCTAACCAAACAGGTTGTTACCAGCCCTGTCTGTTCCCCCTTTCCCATACCTGTGTATTGTCTTTGTGTTTCTTCCTTTAGAAACATCCAGGGCTCTTTTCCTTGCTCCAATAAGTCAACCACATTTGGCTTAGAAGTGGAATGCCCTGCTTACAAGAAAAGAAACATCACATGGATTAAAAATAAAAACAAAGTCACAGAAACCCTGGAGCTTTAGTTAAATTTGTAATGAACTAAAGATTAAATGTTAGTGATAAAGACTTCAGATAAAAGAGGGGTGCAATGATTTAAGAAATGAGGGCAGGTATGCCTCATTTTATTTTAATTTAAACTCACACAGGCTCTGTCTCTTTTGTCTTCAGGGTCCTGTTGTTTTTTCCTGGCTGACCTTGAGCTCATGGACTCAGAAAATCCTCTTGCCTTAGCCTCCCAAATAACGGCATATGGGCATTCACCACTGTGCCCAGCCAGGATTTGTCTTTCTCTCTTTCTCTCCTTCCCTCTCCATCTCTCTCTCGTGTTCTCTGTTTCTTGTTCCTCCCTCCCTCCCTCCCTCCCTCTCCCCCCCTCTCTCCTTTTTTATTTTTTTTGGTACTGGGGATTGAATCCAGGGGCACTTTACCACTGAGCTACACCCAGCCCTTTTCATTTTTTATTTTGAGACAGGGTCTCACTAGCTTGCTGAGGCTAGCCTCAATCTTGCAATCCCCCTGCCTCAGCCTCCCAAGCTGCTGCAGTTACAGGCTTGTGCCCAGCAAGCTTTTGACTCTTACAAGAAAGTTCAATAATGCAAAATTCTCTGGAGTCAGAGGTCTGGGGGACAAATTCTTCCTCTTAAACTTATCAATCTTACGATTTTGGCCGGGTTGTTTCAACTCACTATTCCCCAATGTTGGCAAGAAATTGGGTATAATACTACTACTACAATGTACTTGTTTTATGATTGAATCATTTTATTCATTTTTTTTCCAGAAAAGTGCTTGGGACATAATAAACACTAATTATAAGTATTTCATTTCTGTAAGAGGAATACAAGAAACATCCAGATTGACTTACAAAATCTTCATTCAATAATTAAATGCAAAATTCATGGACTGAAACTTTCAACAATAAATCATAAAAATTGGTTACAGGAAATGAAATGTGGACTTTAGTTTTTTGTGAGTTATTTTTAAGAGGGTCAGGAGACAGGGTCTCACTAAGTTGCTTAGGGACTTGCCAAGTTGCTGAGGCAGGCCTTGAAACTGCAGTCCTCCTGCCTCAGCCTCCCAAGTCACTGGGATTACAGGTGTGCAGCATCCATACCTGGCCAGGATTCTTCAGTTTTAATGAATACTATTCATCCTATCCACTACTGTATAAGTCAGAGGCTCTTTTTATATAAAGAAAAATCAGGAAATCTTCATCAAATGTTGTCCTTGCAGACGGACCAGAGGATGAAAGAGCACATCTACAGAAATTTTTGGAATAAACATGGGAAATCATGGTTATTAATTAAATAAACATGCAGAATTTTATCCTGGCCCCTTGTATATTAAAGAAGGTAGGCTATTATAAATGTCAGAGGAAGATGTGAATGTCATTAAAGGATGGAGGAAATGATGGCGCTTAATTGCAGTGTCATTGTCATTCTGGCAGAACTTCGGGAGATTTGAAAATCATTGTGTTAACATATCATAGTTCACATTTTAAATTACTTCAAGTAAATAAACTTACCTAGAGAGACCAGGTTCCTATAGTTCTCCAACATCACATCCCTGTACAAGTCCCTCTGAAGAGGGTCCAGGTATTCCCACTCCTGCTGAGAGAAGTCTATGGCCACATCCCCGAATGTTACTAATTCCTGAAACTACAAACCCATGTATTATGAAACTTAAAAAACATTTTCATAAAGCAGAAGAGAAGAGCACCTTATAGGAAAGCTGTGATATAGTTAAGAGGCCATTAACTGGTAGCAGACTAAAGCAGAGTATCTACACATTCTTGAAGAATTCTATTGCTGCAGGCAAATCTTTCTTTGAATTAGAAGTAACCACAACAATTTAGGTTTGCTGAGCAATGGATAAAATAAAATTCAAGTTTCTATATTCAATAAAGTATTAGACATAATCACAATTTTATAGGGGCTTGATGCATAAATTAACAATAAATGTAAATTTCTAAATTATTTTACCTTTAGCAGTAAAATAAAAAGAACCCAAAAGGTATGTTCTTCTCAAATTTAATATAAAAATCTCTATATTCAAAAAAGGTTTTACAGAAAAACTTAGATATTTCCCTAAGTCTCAAGTTCATCATTATGTCAGAGCACATAATAGCAATTTTCTTTGTTTTGATAAATTTTGTGTTTACTGTGTAACAATCCATTTTATTATGGATACTCAAGACTTAATTCATCCTTTATGTTTATCTACTTGATTGGAAAAAAAAAGTCCTTTTAGAAATTTCAAAAAGTCCTTTTAGAAATCAGGAGAGGAAATCCACATGTTTACTCCATAGGAAAATGTTCTCTCCCACTGCCATCCTCCCTCTCTCACTCAACACTTCCCTGTCCGAGTATATAATGATATAGGATGACTCATGATCAAATAAATGTCACCCAAATTCAACAGGATACATTCAACCACAAAATATATTTGTCACTCAGTAATTCCTTGACAAAAGTCGTGACATGTCCAACCATTCTAAAAACCTCAAAGGACTTGAGATCTCATCACATAATAAGACTGTGACCAAGTGATAACCAAATTTCCTCTTATTTGCCTTTAAAATAAGAATACACATGTGCATTATTTCAAAGTCTACCTATTATACTCAAATAGAGCCAACATTTCTAATTCACCAAACTAGGGACATATAAGGGAATCTTATATTTACCTGCTGGGATTTAACTCCTTTACTGTTCTATCAAATTTGATTGAAAAATAAGCACAAAAAATATGTAAATTGGACAACTGATACACAAACTGGATAGCAAATACTTGTAGGGAGGAGTCTGAGTTATTTGCTTTCATAATTCACTGCATTAGGAGAAACTGGAGAGCAGATAAATGAACTAGGGAGGCCTTCTTAAGTAGGAAGATTTAGGTTAATGAAAAGAATCCATCTTACCTAAAATAATATTGCAAGAAAACACAAACAATCAACTTACACAGGTCATGTTTTAAAAATGTAAGACCTGATCAGTTTTCCTCAGGGTTCCACTACTAGAAGAATTCAAACTCCAGAGCATCCAGAGCTGAAAGAAAAAAGAAAGTTTTAGTGTTACATTATGACATAGTTCAGAAAGAACTTTCTGCTCTTCCATTGCGCCTTCCAAAATTAGTATCCTACGGCTGTACATATAATTTAGGAAAGAACAAAAAGATGGATCTAAGCTAAACCTCAGGAAACCCAGCTACAAGATAGTTGCAAAGTAAGTCACCTCTGCACTGAAACCAGATCCAGACATGATAGCAGGAGGTTTCTTGGACAAGTCCCCATCTTGGGGGTTGATCTAGACCCCAGTCTTTCTATGAATAGATCCTCTAAGGCTGAATGAGGCCACATCACCCAAACTAACACCTCTTATGGCATCAGAATCAGCTGAAGTTGATCACATATGGAAGACAATACAACCCAGTAGAAATTGCTTGGGCCTGGTTCTGTATAGAGTCCAACCCAGCTGTGTAGTTAATTATGGAACCTACATGTAATATAATATAAAATAGTCATTTAATGCAAGTAGGGAAATATATGTAAGAATATGAAAAATATTTTATATATACTGTCAACAGAAATTAACATTAAAAAGTAGAATGCACAATATGATTTGATAGATAGGGAGTGTAGTTCAGTGATGGAGCACTTGCCTAGCATGCAAGAGACCCTGAGTTTGATTCCCAACATTGAGGAAAAGTAAGAGGAAGAAGAAGTAGAAGGCAGTAATGATAAATTACTTTTTGAGTATATTACTGTCCTGTGACCTTGCTTTCAAGCTTTCAAGCAAGGTCACAGGACAGTAATATATTCAAAAAGTAATTTGGGGGGCTGGGATTGTGGCTCAGTGGTAGAGCACTTGTCTAGCATGTGTGAGGCACTGCATTCGATTCTCAGCATCACATATAAATAAATAAAATAAATGTCCATTGACAACTAGAAAAACATTTTTAAAAAGTAATTTGTTCTGTCATGTTACAGAATTCTATGCTACCATTACTTTTTTAATTTGTAATCTTGATTTTTTTGTTTTAAAGTATATTTCATAATTATAATATTGTTACACTTTAACTTGAAAGCATACATGTGTAGGTTCATTCACATGCACATAGATGTGTGCATATGCACGGATGTATATGCAAAAAAGCGTGTTTCAGTGGCTGGAGTTGTGCCTCAGTGGTAGAGGGCTCACCTACCATGTATGAGGCCCTGGGTTCAATCCTCAGCACCACATAAAAATAAATAAATAAAATAAAGGTATTATGTTCAACACAACTAAAAAAAAAGTTGAAAAATTTTTAAAAAGCATGTTTCAATGGAATATTGTATTCTTGATAATTGCCATTCTTACTGGAGTGAGATGAAATCTCATTTCTCTTATTGCTAGAGATGTTGAATATTTTTTCATATATTTGTTGACCAATTGTATTTCTTTTACTTTCTTTTTTAATTTTATTATTATTATTTTGTATTTTATTTAGAGACAGGGTCTTACTGAGTTGCTTAGCACCTCACTTTTGTTGGAGCTGGTTTGTACTCAACAATCCTCCTGCCTCAGCCTCCAAGACACTGGGATTACAGGCAGGCACCACCACACCCGGCTAACTGATCATATTTCTTCTTCTTTGAAGTGCCTGTTCAGTTCCTTTGCCCATTTATTGATTGGGTTGCTTGTTTTTTGGTGTTCAGTTTTTTGAGGTCTTTATATATTCTGGATATCAATGCTCTGAGGTGCAGGTGGCAAAGATTTTCTCCCACTCTGTAGCCTCTCTCTTCACATTCTTGTTGTTTCCTTTGCTGATACACAAACTGGATAGCAAATACTTGTAGGGAGGAGTCTGAGTTATTTGCTCAACCAATTTATTGGTTCTTTTTTTAAAACTATTTTTTATTTATACATGGACACAATACCTTTACTATTTATTTATTTATTTTTATGTGGTGCTAAGGATCGAATCCAGTGCTTCACATGTGCTAGGCAAGCACTCTACCACTGAGCTATAGCCCCAGCCCCCATTTATTTATTCTTGATTTTACTTCTTGCACTTTAAGAGTTCTGTTGAGGAAGTCGGTTCAGAAACTGACATGATAGAGAGTTGAGCCTACATTTCCTTCTAGTAGGTGCAGAGTTTCTGCACCTACTAATGCATCTACTAATGTCTAGGTCCTTGATCCACTTTTGAGTTTTGTGCAAGGTGAGAGGGGTTCAATTTCATTTTTTTTTCAATTTCATTTTGCTACATACTTATTTCCAGTTTTCCCAGCACCATTTGTTAAAGAGGCTATGTTTATGGCACCTTTGTGTAGTATGAGATAACAGTGTTTATGTGGGTTTGTCTCTGTGTCTTCCATTCTGTACATTGGCCTTCATGTCTGTTTTGGTGTCAATACTATACGGTTTTTGTTACTATAGCTCTGTAGTATAAGTTAAGATCTGGTATTGTGATGCCTACTGCTTCACTTTTCTTGCTAAGAATTGCTTTGGCTATTCTGGGCCTCTTATCTTCCCAAATGAATTTCATGACTGCTTTTTCACTTTCCATGAAGAACTTTATTGGAATTTTAATAAGAATCACATTAAATCTGCATAGCACTTTTGGAAGTATAGCCATTTTGGCAATATTAATTCTGACTATCCAAGAACACAGAAGATCTTTCCATCTTCTAAGGTCTTCTGTAGTTTTCATTGTAGAGGTCATTCACTTCTTTTGTTAGATTGATTCCCAAATATTGTTTTTTTTGATGCTATTGTGAATGGGATAGTTTTCCTAATTTTTCTTTCAGTTGATTCATCACTGATATATAGGAACACAGTTGATTTATGAGTGTTAATTTTATATCCTGCCACTTTGCTGAATTCATTTATGAGTTCTGGTAGTTTTCTGGTAGAGGTTTTTTTGGGGTCTTCTAAATACAGAGTCATGTCATCAGCGAATAGGGATAGTTTGAGTTCTTCTTTTCCTATTCATATCCCTTTAATTTCTTTCTTCTTCCTATTTGCTCTGGCTAGAAATTAAAGGACAATGTTGAATACAAATGGTGAAAGAGATGGAGCTGGGGCTGGGGTTCAGTGGTAGAGTGCTTGCCTAGCACATGTGAAGCACTGGGTTCGATCCTCAGGACTACATTAAAAAAATTAAATAAAATAAAGATACTGTGTCCATCTACAACTAAAAAAAAATATGTTTTTTAAAAAAGAGGTGGGCTGGGGATGTAGCTCAGTTGGTAGAGTGCTTGCCTTACAGGCACAAGGCCCTGAGTTCAATCTCTAGCACCACACACACAAAAAAAAAAAGTGGCAAAAGAGGCATCTTTGTCTTATTTCAGTTATTGGAGGGAATGCTTTCAATCTTTCTCCCTTTAGAAGATGTTGGCCTTGAGTTTAACATATACAGCTTTTACAATGTTGAGCCCTTTCTATTTTTTTTTCTTTTTTTTTATTGGTTGTTCACAACATTACAAAGCTCTTGACATATCATATTTCATACATTAGATTGAAGTAGGTTATGAACTCCCAATTTTTACCCCAAATGCAGATTGCAGAATCACGTTGGTTCCCTTTCTATTTTTTGAGACAGGGTTTCACTAAGTGACCAAGGATGACCGCAAATTTACAATCTTCCTGCTTCAACTTCCCATGTAGCTGGGATCAGAGGTGTATGCCACCATGTCCAGCCTTATCTATTACTATTTGAGATGAAGAACCTCACAAATTCCTCAATTTACTACTTTAAAACAAACATAATTCTACTAATTTAACTTTTTCATACAATAAAAATATCATACCAATAAAACCTCTAGATAATTTTCACAGCTTATAATAACTGTCAATTGCCTTCAAGGATAATTTTTTTACCTTGCAAATAACCATCAACTGCCTTCATATTTCTATTACTATTGAACCCTGAAGTGCCTAGAATCATGACATAACAGTTAATATTAGTTGAGCATTCTTTATATTCCAGGCTCTGTTGTCATGGGATTTACATTTTATCCTCATGACACCCTATGAAGTAGGTGCTATTATAATATACATCTGAGAGCTGTGGAACACAGAGCCTGAGTGCTAGCCAGGCTTGTATATACAGAAAGTAACACAGCTGAGATTCAAACCAAACTTAGGATATCCAGGGCCCATTTTCTTCAACATCACACCACACTACCTGTCACAGCCTAATGATGATGTACCTGAAAACCTAAGGCACATCTGATCAACAATAACAACTACTTCTTAGAAATCACCTGAACTTATTCCTTCCCTCATTGGTACAGACCTTTAGGCTCACTCAATTATAGTCCCACTTCTAAAGTTCCATAAAGCCGATGACATTGTCATTTATTGATTCTTTGGCCTCTAGATAAAGAATATCTAAGCTATCTGGTGTGTGATTCCACACACACCCATTTTGCCTTCCCTGCTCACCATCTAAAATACAGCCCAAATGCCTGATCTGAATGATCTGCCAATCAAATATGTAACTATTACCTGGAGAGGAGAAAGAAAATAGCCACTGTGAAGGAGGATGTGTGAGGCACTGGGTTCGATTTTCAGCACCACTTAAAAATAAATTAATAAAATAAAGTTATTATGTCCACAGATATCAATGTCCTCTGTCAGTATCTGCGGAAGGAAGGCTTAAGGTTGTTTCTTCAGGCGAAGAAAATCAAACATTTTCATATCCAAAAAGAAATTTGGAGAACAAAAAATGAATCCACCATCTTGACCTGGCCGTGGTTCTCAACATTTTTTATATAGTTTTTAATTGTTGATGGACCTTTTTAAAAAAATTTTTTAGTTGTAGATGGATATAATAACTTTATTTTATTAATTTATTTTAAAGTGGTGCTGAAAATCGAACCCAGTGCCTCACACATCGTAGGCAAGCACTCTATCACTGAGTCACATTCCCAGCACCATGGACTTTTTATTTTATTCATTTATTCATATGCAGTGCTGAGAATCCAACCAGTGCCTCACACATGCTGGGCAAGTGCTCTAACGCTAGGCCACAACCCAGCCCCACCTGAATCTTGATTTTT